TTCTCCCATGTATTTGAATCTGGCCAAATATCTGATATTGTCTTACAAAATAAAGTAAGCACCTGCTAATGTTTTTCATTTGTGGTTTCTAAGAGATAAAGGTAACTGTTTTTATTATTTCAAGTCAATGACTGGTTAGAAGTTGTTTAGTAAGATTATTATGTCAGTCTGTTTACATTACTGATAATGTAAAACACACAAGCGTTTTCTGAAGAGGTTTGGTCTGTCAGGAAAGGGTGAGCACATAACCTCCCTGTTCTCTGCTTTGCAGGTGTTGCAGCTTCCCTGGAAGTCTCTGAGAGCCCTGGGAGTATCCAAGTGGCCCGGGGCCAGACGGCAGTCCTGCCCTGTACTTTTACTACCAGCGCTGCCCTCATTAACCTCAATGTCATTTGGATGGTCATTCCTCTCTCCAATGCTAATCAACCTGAGCAGGTAGTTCTTTTCCACTTCATGCTGCCTCTCAAATATTAATTTTTTCAGAAGAGGTGGGTAGGAAAGCATCCTGAGTATATATTTGATTTCTAGGTAGGATAAGATGGCACGTTCCCTGTGCCTGTGCTGTTTTAAATCCTACTCCTGTGTTATTAGTCAACCATCAGAAGAGATTATCCTCTTTTTAAGAGACTTTCTTGTTTTAACATATGTCAGGGGAATCCTTCTGAAAATTTTACGTAGGAACCTGGAATTTTACCAAAAGGTGTTGCTGATAGGAAAAAGCAAGATAGAAAAAGTAACATATGCTTTGACAGGAAGGGACTGTCAGTAACACAGATGGATGAGAGTATGTTTTAGAGACAGTGATAATATTAAGGAAGTAACATTAGATAGTAGTACTTGGTTTATTTGTCTAATTTCACAAGTGTTTTTAAAATAAACACAGCCAGGCATACTAGCCAGCCTCAAAGAGTCTCAAATAAATTAAGGTACACAAAAATAGAAGCTACTACCTAGTAAACTGTCAATTACAGGTAAAAGACCCATAATTGGTATTAACTGTTGTAGAAAATAATGCTCAGAAAATTAATGAATTGTAACCACAGTTACGCATTTATTCCCAAAGATAATTTATTACTGTTACGAAGCTTTTCTGCTTCAGTGAGGTTATTACTACCTAAAAATACTTGATAAGCTAAATTTTCTGATATGAATTCAAATATGTATATTTAGAAGCTTCTTTCATTTCTTTAGACCATGGAATTTTTATAATTAATTAGACTGAGCCTCTGAGATCATTTTGTTCAACCTTATCATTTTAGAAGGCAAAGAAAGACTTGAGTGTAGTTGCCCAAATATTTACAGATAGAACTGAAATAGAAGCAAGTTTCTCATTCTCAGCCCACAAGGCTTTTGGCAGCAGTGTTCTGAGTCCTCTCCCCTGAATAGTTACTTTTGATAATAGAAACGGACATAAGAATAGCAATCAGGGATCTGCAACGCTTCTTCTCTCTCATGACTAGTTATGTTCAGGTTGTAGCCATGATCTGTCATCTTGTGACCTGGTAAGCATGAGAATGGCAGTGCTAATTTTTTAAACTTTTTATTTTGGAATTATTTGAATAAAAATATTTATGGGCTGATAGTAAGATTGCACTAAAGACATTTTCTATATTCTGATGAGTTAGACAAGGAAACAGTGTTATTTTAATTTGGTATCTGAGAATTTAGAATCCCCATATACGCCTGTGCACTGATGCTGTAGTAAAGGGTTGGGGACAAGTTTAAGATAAGAAAGTTTTTCAATGTTTGATGCAGTCTACGATCTACCAGATAGTTACTGCTATGCGTTATGTGTCTAGAAGGGAATGTAGTGGCCAGTTTATTTATTTTACTTTCTTTTCCAGGTCATTCTGTACCAGGGTGGACAGATGTTCGATGGTGCCCCCCGGTTCCATGGTAGGGTAGGATTTACAGGCACTATGCCGGCCACCAACGTCTCTATCTTCATTAATAACACTCAGCTGTCAGATACAGGCACCTACCAGTGTTTGGTCAACAACCTTCCAGATAGAGGGGGCAGAAACATTGGGGTCACCGGTCTCACAGTTTTAGGTGAGTGGCAGGATGTTGCAGGCATCTTGGCTTTCCTTATGCTGTGACTGTACTCGAGCATACTTACTTTTGACCATCCTTCTATACTTTCAGTCTGCTAGCATCCTTTTCTTGATTCCTCTCCTATCTGCCCTGCCTGGACTCTGCGTCTCTGTGCTTTTTACGCATAGTCTTCCCATCCCTTTTGCCACTTCTGGTGGCTCCTTAAAGCTTCTTAAATGATTTGTCCTGAAAGTGGAGAAAGGTGGTAAAAAACACAATCACAAGTGGCCTCTCACTTTTCTTCAGTGTTTACAGGATAGGACTTATCATTGAGAACAAGTTAAGTCAAGAATCACTTATTTTCTGTACAAAGCAGAAGTTTCAGCACACGTGAGAAAAATTGACTGCTTCATGTCCACATAGACTGAGGAGACTCACCGCAGTTCTTGGCTTACCCCTCATGTCCTGGCATAATTTCAGTAAAACATCCTTTTGTCCTCAAAAGCATCCTTTTTGAATGATAAATCATATGATCAATTTGGTCTCAATACTGTATTAAGAGACTGTATAGTTTTAGGGCCTTTTTAAAGGTGGCATAGACAATGTCTTGTCTCACACAGGCACTTTTTCTATTATACAGTATACTTAGAATACGTCATACTAAATTAAGTCCATTCTAAACACGTTTTGTTTCTCACTTCTGCTGCCTCTAAAATAAAACACTGCCTCCTAAATGCAGTTAAGCTCAGTTCATTGGGGGAGACCTAGGAGGTAGTTAGAGAAGGCTGATACTCTTGATTGTCCTTCATCCTGTTTTTGGCTCAGAATCTCCTCCCTTATTCCTTGGCAAATTCTTGCCCTTTCTTTTCCCTTCCGTTGTTGAGGTACTTGAGGATACCATTTTCCTTCTTTGGATGAGACTATGCGATAGCCATGGTGCCTTGTTTTCCTTGTCTTCAAACAAAGTAAGAAGACTAAGGACCAGATTGGAGATTTCTATCTTAGAAACACTGTAGTATATTCAGAATTGTGTAATTTTTAATTATGCAGAGGTTTTTACTAAATACAGAGATTTAAAAATACTCAAGTACCGAATATAGAGCACTAATGGAGTTTCAGTGTTTTTCTGATGTTTATACCTGCAAATTAGGTGACTGTCTTCCCACATTATCTAAGTTAATTTTTTCAATTTTTAAAAGAAGACAAAAATCCTTTAATTTTTTTTATAGTTGATGCTACCTTCAAAGAATTATCTTGGGCTTCCTTTATAGCATCATGGTGGCAGTGTCAAAGGCAGTAATTGAGGGGACTGGTTTACCCCATCACAGCAAGTAGGATTCTCTGAGATTTTTTACTTTTCCTACCTAATACCCTTTTATGGTTCTCTGTCCCCCACCCCTTCCTTTCCTGGTTTCTCTGTCTACTGCACTTATCTTTTATGCATTTGTTCATTCCTTTTTGAAAGGTTGAACGTATTTCTCGAAAAGTCGTTAGCATTACAAGTATACCATCATTGGATTCAGGCTTTACTTCCTCCATCCCCCAACATGAGACTCCAAGCCTTGGGGTTAGCTGATATTTTTATTTGCTTGCATTCTTGCTACAAAGCACCGCCTTCTTCCGTTAGTGTTCTTCTTTCATAATTTTTAAATTTTGTGTCTTTTATGTGCTTATTTGTCTTAATGATTATAAAATGTCCACTGCATTATGATCAAGTAGTAGACACACTTGAACTTGACTCTAACTTCCCCCACCATAAAGCAGAATTTAGCATAAAGTAGGTCTGTCAGGTTTTTGTTTGTAAAGTAACAAAGAATCTTGTCAGGGTCGTCTTACCCAGAGAGTTGCTGGCAGGGTCAGTGGTTGCTCTTCCTTGAAATATCTTTTCTAAAAGTGGCTTCTTTCAGTAATGAAAAAATTTAATTGTGGTAAAATACACATGACATAAAACTTACCATCTGAGCCAGTGTGTAAGTGTATAGACCTGTAGGGATAAGTACATTCACACTGCTGTGCAGTCACTCTCCAGAACCCTTTCTATCTTACGAAACTAAAACTCTGTGCTCATTAAACAACATTTCCTTCTCCTCCTGGCCATTGGTAACCACTTTCCTATTTTCTGTTTGTATGAATTTGACTACTCGAGGTGCCTCATATGAGTAGAATTATTTATTGTTTGTCTTTTTATGACTGGCTTATTTCACTTAGCATAATGTTCTCAAGGCTCATCCATGCTATAACACGTTTCAGAATTCCCTTCCCTTTCAAGGCCGAATAATATTTCCTAGTATGTATGTACCACATTTTGTTTATCCATTCATCCATCCATGGATACTTGGCTGTTTCCATCCTTCAGCTATAATGAATAATGCTGCTGTGAACATGGGTATGCTCAGTCATGTTTCTAAAGGCAGTGTGTGGGCAGGAAGGACCTTCAGCATTCTTCTTCAGAGGAAGGAATGCAAAACGAAGAGCATAAGATTCCTTCAAAGTATAATGAAAGGATGCAGCCCCTTTTCCATGTTTGCCCCCTGCCAGCTGAAGTTGTGGGCCCTGACTAGTCACTGGCATCACTCACGAGGTAGTCTTCTGGTTATGTGTTCTATAAACATTGTTATCTGAGGTTCCAGTGCACTGAATGTTGATGTCTCCTCCATCATCAGGTGGCTCATAGTAAATACGTACTCTATTCCTTACTCTTCCTGTTGTAGTTCCCCCTTCTGCCCCACACTGCCAAATCCAAGGATCCCAGGATATCGGCAGCGATGTCATCCTGCTCTGTAGCTCAGAGGAAGGCATCCCTCGGCCAACTTACCTTTGGGAGAAGTTAGACAATACCCTCAAACTACCTCCAACAGCCACTCAGGGTATGTACGGTGTTGCTTTACCCATTTCATTAGTTACCATGCAAAATTCCAATTCTAAGACTCAATGAAATAATTAACTTTAATAGAGTTTGAAAAATAACACGCTGTATCTGTAACTGCTGAAAAAGCTATCTGGATCATTTTGCGTTTTCAACTTTAAAGAGAAGAAAACATATCCTTTCTCATATGCTGCCGTTATGTATCTCATCCAGTGGTTACTATCTATGGAAATTCTGTTCCATTACAATGAGGATTTAAAATCTCTCCTTGGTAGCTTCTTTATAGTGTTAACTGTAAGATGATCCTTGAAGTTTATAACTGAGAATCCACTTCCTTCTTGAAACACTCTTGAAAATTTGATGAGAACTTATAAAATGAGGGAAGATTACAGAGTTTTATCTAAAATCTTCTATTTCAAGAAAATAAAAGTTAGCAGCCTTGAATGTTGTATCATCTGTAACAGTATTTTTCTTGTATACTCAGGGCTTGTAGCCTGTATACTCTTGTAGCATTCTCAGGGCAAGTATACAAATCTTATGTTAAAAGAGTTGGCAGTTAATGAAGAGGCTCCAGACAACCTGAATTGTGCCTGAAATATGCCCCCATTGATAGTATATGGCTGTCATGGAGATGGAAAGTCCTAACTTGTATGGTAAAGTTAGGCATGGTAAAGCACCAGGCCTACCAGCTCTGTCAGAGCCTGTGAGAATCCTGACAGAACTATTCATGGACCTTCCTATCATCTTTTAACTTACCTAGCCAAAATCTATTATGTAAAAAAAACTTCTCAGTGACAACACGTAATAACTTTTGGGTTACTCTGATAATGATTACTGCAATACCGTTGTTCCCTGCGGATTGCTGAATTGCTAAAATGTTTCAGCCACACTGTGGGCTGAATAGCTTTTCTGGTGGACTAAAGTGTTAATCTCTCTATTTACATGTAAGAGACATGTTTAATCTAGCTCTTGTGTTGAAATCCTGAAAACCATATTTAAATTCCAGATTTCCTAGTAACTATTTCAGTGACAGTTTACCTCTCTGGGCTGGTGTTGCCTTTTTTTTTTTTTTTTAATGGGGATTAAACAATGTCGTTTCCAAGATTCTTTTGTATCAGCATGAAAGTTCTATGATTTATATTTAAAACATTTTGGTGAAATACTGGGTTGAGTTTGGAATTACAAATAAATGCTAAAAGTGGTTACTTGTATGTAAGTTGAGAAATACCTATAGAAAGAACCTTCCACACCTCTTTGTCTTTGAATAAGTGTGTATTAGTCAATTTTTTTGGTGTCTTCTGTGTAATTTAAATATTTTTTAGTACTATATGAAAGTGATCTTGAATGATATTGATGAAAATGTTTATCTTTTGTAATCCAAACTCAGGATTCATTATCAGAATTAGTTTGAATAACTTCATTTATCACAATAATGCTCACTAAGTGAGTCAGATTTTTTATTTAAATTTGCCTCTTGGGGGGCGCCTGGGTGGCTCAGTCGGTTGAGCCTCTGACTTCGGCTCAGGTCATGATCTCACAGTCCATGAGTTCAAGCCCCGCGTCAGGCTCTGTGCTGACAGCTCAGAGCCTGGAGCCTGCTTCGGGTTCTGTGCCTCCCTCTCTCTCTGCCCCAACCCACTCACATTCTCTCTCTCTCTCAAAAATAAATAAACATTAAAAAAACTTTTTTTAGATTTGCCTCTTGGTACTGATATTAATAAAATAGATCTCAAAATAGCATATAATCCCCAAATAAGTTAGATTTTTTAAAGATACTTTTTACATTTATTTATTTTTGAGAGAGAGTATGAGCAGGGGAGGGGCAGAGAGAAAAGGAGACAGAGGATCCGAAGTGGGCTCTGCACTGACAGTCTGATGTGGGACTCGAACTCATGAACTGTGAGATCGTGATCTGTGGCGAAGTTGGATGCTTAATCGACTGAGCTACCCAGCCACCAAATAACTTAGATTTTAAAAACACTTTTTTAATATGTTTGCAGTTGCTTAATATAAACTCAAGATGTATTCTCTGTGAAAAGAATATTTGACACCAAGGGAGGGTACTCCAGAAGTCAGTTAGTGACAGGGTCATAATATTTGGGGATTAGAATTGTCCTTGTGTGTAGGGGCTAGTTTGAAGGAGCTCCTTCTGGTCACATCTTGGACAGTTTGAACATTAAAATAAATATATAACCTGTTGAATGAAATGAAATGTATTTAGGAAATATGAAGTACTTAGTTTGGTCTGTGCTTCTGAGGTCTGTACAAATGGCCCATGTTCCATTAAGTGTCTGGGTCTGGTCCCAGTTCACCAGCCCCTGCATTGGTGGTTCTCAACTGGGACATTTTCAGTTGACATTTTTTTGGTTGTCACAGCTGATAGGATGGTGCTACTGGCAGCTCATGGGTAGAGGCTAGGGATGCTGGTAAACATCCTATAATGCACAGGAATAGCCCCTGCAGTAAAGAACTATCTGGCCCCAAATGTCAGTGAGTCAGTTACATTAATATGTTACTAATGTTAAATATCCTTGCATTTCTGGAATAAAGTCTATATGATTGTAATTTAAAAAAAAAAACTTTTTTAACATTTATTTTTGAAAGAGAGAGACAGAGAGTGAGCAGGGGAGGGGGTGGAGAGAGAGAGAGAGAGAG